AAGAAAATGTTCAATGCTGGTGGGAGGATGCATAGCTGAAGGGTATCGGGTGAAATGGCATGATGTTTGAGGTTCATTTTAAAGTATTTAGTTCAGCAAAAGGAAAAAAAGAGAAAGATGAAACAAATGTACTTTAGGCAAAGATGTAGGCAAGATTTCAAGATAAAGTCTTTTTAAAAAAAGATTTTACTTATTTATTTTTGAGAGAGTGAGTGAGCATGAGTGGGGACGGGGGCAGAGGGAGAAGCAGGCTCCCCACTGAGCAGGGACCCCCCCAATGTGGGACTCGATCCCAGGACCCTGGGAGCATAACCTGAGCTGAAGGCAGACGCTTAACCGACTGAGCCACCCAGGCGCCCTCAAGACAAAGTCTTGATAATTTTTGAGTCTGGGAGATAAACAAATCCAGGAGTGGATTTGCTAAGCCTTGTGTCTACTATTGTGTATGTATTAAAAATTCCATAATAAAATGTAAAACAATATCAATGACATCTTTTCAAGAACGTGCCCACGCAAAAAGATACGTGTTCAACTTTTTAGAGTAGTTGCCTATGGAGGGAGAGTAAAAGAGGAGCAGGGGATGGAGACAAAGGGGAAGGAAGGAAAGAAAGGAAGAAAGGAGAGTTGTCAGGAGTGCCTGGGTGGTACAGCGTCTGACCCTTGGCTTTGGCTCAGATCACGATGTCAGTGTCGTGAGATCGAGTCCCCTGTCGGGCTCAGTGCTCAGTGTGGAGTCTGCGTAGGATTCTCTCTCTCCCTCTCCCCCTCCCCCCACCCCACTCTCTTTCTCTCTCTCAAATAAATAAATAAATCTTAAAAAAGAGAGAAAGAAGAATGGTCAATGGTGATCTACCCTGAATTGAGGATGATGGATTTAACCCTTCGTACCAGGGGTCCAGAGGCAGGAGGGGAAAAATCGATATCCCCTATAACTCTACCACCGTGGCATTTTCATTTCTCCTGTCTAAGCCTCTAAGCTTCATTCCTGTGCACACTACCCTCTTCTGCATGGCTGTCACCTCGAGGGTCACAGTACTTCATGCCTTGCTTAAGAAACAAGAATAAACATTTTGCTTACTAAATGCTAGCACTGGGCTAGGACCTCGAGGTGTATGATTTCGATTTATCCTCTCAGTAACACTGTGAAGTATCATTACCTCCATCTTACAGATGCAGAAAACTGAGCTCAGAAATGGGTTGTCTGTCCATCTCCTACTAAATCACAAAGCTGGAATTCCAAACTCATTGACCTCGGAGACCCAGGATCATGTGATTACACCAAGCTGATACAACAGCTTCTTCATCATCATTATTATTTGTTTGTTTTCTAAGTAATCTCCATGCCCAATGTGGGGCTCCAACCAACAACCCCAAGATCCAGAGTCGAATGCTCTACTGACTGAGCAAGCCAGGTGACCCTCATCGTTATTATTTGTAGGACCCACCCTCGTGGTCTATTATATTGAGGTAGAGTGATTTACTGAAATTTACCACTCTCCTCTTACTATTTGGCCTCTTCCTAGTTTTTTGCTTCCACAGACAGTCCTGTAAAGAGTATCTTCAGGTGTAGGGGTCAGCTCAGTTGGTGGAGCATGCAACTCTTGATCTCAGGTTCTGAGTTCGAGCCCCATGTGTGGAGTAGGGTTTGCTTAAAAAAAAAAAAAGATATAAAAAAGAATATCTTCAGGTATAGAGCTTTTAGATTCCGTTGAATTATTCCCTTACCTGGAGTGGGGTTATACTTTGTGCTCACACAAAAGTGTGGACCTCATTCCAGCAACCAGTTCACAGTGATGTAGTCTTCAAGAAGGGGTTGAACAAGGAACACCTGTGTGGCTCAGTCAGTTAAGCATCTGGACTCTTGATTTCAGCTCAGGTCGTGATCTCAGGGTCTTGGGATCAAACCCCTGGTTGGCTCCTCCGTGCTCAGTGGGGAGTCTGCCTGAGATTCTCTCATTCTACCTCTGACCTTTCCCTGGCTCGTGTGTGCTTGCCTCCTCTCTCTTTCTCTCTCAAATAAATACATCTTTTATTTATTTATTTATTTATTTATTTATTTATTTATTATTTTTTTAAAGATTTTATTTATTCATTTCGGACACAGAGATATATATATATATATATAGAGAGAGAGAGAGAGAGCATGAGCAGGGGGAGAGGCAGAGGGAGAGGGGGAAGCGGGCTCCACGCTGAGCCAGGAGCCTGATGTGGGGCTCGATCCCAGGACTCCGGGACCATGACCTGAGCCGAAGGCAGACGCCTAACCACCTGAGCCACCCAGGCGCCCCTAAATACATCTTTTAAAAAATGGGGTTGAATGGGTGAGCAGGATTTAAAACTGCAGAGATTTTGAGGGAGCATGTATATATTGGGGGGTGGGAGTGGGTCAGAAGGACAGCTCTCAGAGGAAATGCAGGGGGGTGGAGAGAGTGGGTCAGGGCATCTGTGGGGGCGGGCAGGAAATACAAGGGGAGGAAGGCCTCAGGACAGGCAGGAGGTCGATGGGATTGAATTCTGCAGCCTTCACACTTCCCTAATGCCTTCCCAGCTCAAGGTGGCCAATGAGGTTGTGGCAAGCCCTGGGGACAGGCCAACTGCTGCGGGGACATGAAGCTGCTGCACGTAGGAGTGGACAGCCTGGACTGCTCTCCCTGGGGCCAAGGTGGCTCTCTGGCCCTTGGGCAGCTGCCCTGGGCAGCCCGGGAGGGGTCAGCTGGGGATAGGCAGCAAGTAAATATAGATGCAGGGAAGGAACCAGGCGGCCCAGGCCTGCACTGACCTCTTGCTGGAAGGCTGAGAAGGGTGGGGAGGGGTTAGGTTCTGGCAGCCTCCTCTTCAGGGCTGAATGACCCCTGGCTCAGCAGCCCCCTAGAATTGCTGGAAGCGGCTGGTCCTCCATGGGGACCAGAGTGAGGGCTCGTAGAAAGCCTGGTGGAGAGGTGCTGCTCCTTTGTAACAGAGGGCAAACCGCATTCCCTCCCTGGTGGTCCCCTTCAAAGGCGCTGCCCAGCGTGATGAGTGCAGGCGAAGGTGCTGACCAGCCCAAAGGGACATGGGGCCCACAGCGCAGGGATCTTGCTTATTCTGAAGAAGGATGTCCGGAGCGTAAAAGTGTCTTCCCTTGCTCTCCCACCCTTTCACTGGTGGCTGGCCCTCTCCACCCCAGGACTCCGAGCCCCCAGTTCTGGCCCAGCCCCCAGAGCCACTGCCATCCCCCAGCCTGGCTCTCCCTGCCCCCACCCCAGGTCACAACTCCGGCACCAGCTCCCCACCATGCATGCCACGTCCACCCAGTCCAACCAGGACCCCTTAGCTCCCCGCCTCTTGCTCTGGGAGGGAAAGGCCAACAAGGCAATCACTCCACCACAGACGTGTTTATTGGCAAAACCTATAGCCAAGCATCAAGGGGAAGGGTGATAGCAGAGTGGTCTTTCCACTTTCCTTAGCAGTGTTCAAGGAGCGGGGGTGGGGGGGCCGCGGCATCCCAGTGAGGATAACCACACCAGCAGCTAACGTTTACGGAGCGCTTCCTCTGAGGCCTGAGGTCAGGCTGTGCTAAGCATGCGCTTTACTGTCTCATTTTATCCTTACAACAATCCTACAAGGTAGGTACCATTATCGTCCCCACTTCCCTGATGAGGAATCCGAGGCACAGGACGGTGAAGCGGTGAGAGGCGGCTGTCAGCCTTCAGGGCTGCACCTGAGAGCCTCCCGTCAGGGGCCCCCAGCCCCTGGTTCTCTGTTTCAACCAATTCTCACCACTTCCAGTTCTTTCAGCTCTTTTTTATATTTTTGTTTTGTAAAAAAAAATAGATTATGCCCATACTCTGCAGAGCCCACTGACCTTTACCCCAGTTGATCAAATCTGGCTTCTCCCCAAGATTCAGCTGGGGTGAGATTGTGGACAGCGCGTCTCAAACTAGAGGCCTGGGTGTTTGTGTGAAGCCAGAGTACAATGAGAGCTCTTAGAAAATACAATCAATAAATTACAAACCTCCCTCCCTTCCCCCACCCCGTTTCCTCCCACCCCCCCCATCCAAATCTAGAACAGACTGTGCATTGCCCCCCACCCCCCCCACCCTGCCCCATGGCAGCATCTCGTCTCAGTTGCTTCTGTATCTGTGGGGTCCGGGGCCCTCCATAAATGTTTGTGGAATGAATGAATGTGTGAATGGGAGGAGGGAGTGAGCACTTTGGAGTCCTGAGTCGCAGCCCTGATTGTATCCTCACCTGCACTTTGCCCTCACCAGGACACCTCCCTCTGTCCCAGAAAAGAGGGTCCCCGGGATGGGGCTAGGAACAGAGAGGGGGAGGTGGGGAGTCGGCAGGGATATCTCTAAGCGTGGGAAGGTAGGTGACTGAGGTAGAGCATAGGGCTCTGGCCTCTGAGTCAGGAGACCTGGTGCAGATCCCAGCTGTAAGGCTCAGGAGCTGTGTGACCCTGGGCAGGCGGGAAGAAGAATGATGACTACCATATGATAGTCCTTTCAGAGTTGACAAGGCCCCTTTTTCACATTTATCTTTGGTCCTCAGTAACCATCCTGTAATATGGGTATTATTATAAATATACCCATTTTACAGAAGAGGAAGCAGAGGCTGGGAGAAGTCAAGGGACTTGACAAGGTCACACAGCATGCAGGAACTTGAACCCCGCCCCCTCTACCTCCCTTGCTACTGCCCCTGCCTGAGCTGTGAAGAGGTTGGCTCAAATCTAAGTCCTCCAGCTTGGGAGCCCCACGTGGCAGCAGGGTGGCAGGAGAGACTGCACAGTGAATTCCCCGACGTAGACCCTACTGACCATCTCCAGCCATAAAAGCTGGTTTACCCCTCATGGAAGGGTTTCTAGACACCCCTTCCATTCCCCACCCACAACCCTGGGGTTCCAGTTGCTACCCCAGGAGGGATCTGAGAGTCCGTGAGATACCCATGAACTTCTGTTTTTCCTGGGAGGGTGGGGAAGTGGGAGGGAGGAGGGAGCTTGGAGGCCCCATGCCTTCCCCTCACACGGGCATGGTCACCTCGTTGTATTCATCCCGACCTTCCTCTTCATCGAAGGTCGGCTTGGCATCGTCAGCATCCAGCTGAAAGGTAGAGTAGGAAGGAGAGAGGGTGAGCTTCTGGGGAGGGCTGGGGCAGATGAGCCTTCCCCCCAGTGCCGAGAGCACTTCTGGAATGAGGAGAGGGACTGGCTCTCACTGGACCTCGGATAAGTCATGTCCTGCCCTCTCAACCCCTAAGTTTGGTCTGGATGAGTTGTTTCCAAAGGGTGAGGGGCCCCTGGGGATGTGGCGCCCCGGCAGGGGAGGGCCTACAGAGGGTGGGCAGGACACCCCTTCACCAGGGTAGCCCCACGGCAACTCTCACACCATGGGAGAATTCCAAAATGACTCAGAAAACCACAGGCTGAGCTGCTCCACGGTCAGGACAGCTCACGGGGAACACACCCTGCGTGCTTCTTAACCCCTCCCTGCCCCCAAGCTCTGGGGTCCGGGCCTCCTGCCTCTGCCCTTTCTTTGCCCTCCCTCCTGCCCCAGGTCCGCAGGGTAGGGGTGGGGAGCAGCCACGCACACACTGGAGCTCCAGCGTCCTGAAGATGAGCGGCAGCAGAAGGCGGCGCAGAGGCACCGTGAGAATGAGCACGAAGGGCAGGGTCAGCGAGGTGGTGGGAAAGGTCTTCACCGTCCACAACCCTGCCAGGCAGATGATCTGGATGATCGTGAACAAGTGCATGCGCCAGGTGGTCACCTGCAGGTGGAGGTGGGGGTTACTGCCTGCCCTGCCCTGGGGCCTGGCAACACCCCCCCCCGCCGCCCCACTCGGGGCTGGGCAGCCAGGAGGACTCTGTACCCGCTTGACATAGGGCACATCTGGGTGGTACTTGGACGGCTTGAACAGAAGCAAGATGCGGTCAAAGAGCTGGATGCCGCTGAGGGACGTGACCCCCATGTAGAGGAAGATGCCAAACAGCACAGCCAGGGGGATGCGGGACAGGATGGGCCCCATGAGGATGGACAGGCCTGCAGGGAGAACCATGAACTCTTAGCCCCTGGGGCTGGGGGTGGGGGCGGGGGCCCAGAGGGCTGACAGCATCAGGGGCTGGGGAATGAAACCACAGATACCATATGAAGCCCTTTCTGTGGATCCTCTTAATAGGTATTACCCCATTTTGCAGATGAGGAAACAGATTCAGAGAGGTTAAGCAACTTGCCTGAGGCCACATAGCTACTAAGTGGCAGATCAGGGAGTCAAACTCCTGCCTGCGGGACATCAAAGCCTATTCGTTTAGCCTCGGGGGTTCACAGAGGTCAGAGAAGCCCAACTTTTCTAACACCCCAGCCCAGAGTGCCTCCGTCCCCCTCCACCTATCCAAACCCTAACCCTCCTCCAGCTAACACCAACTTCGCCTCCTTTAAGAAACTTCCCTGGCAACTCCCTCAGTGACCATGGCGCAGCCCACACTGAGCCCAGCTGGACTCTCAGCTGCTCCATAACTTGGATCAACCCCAGTGATCCTCTGTCTTCGGCTTCCCCCCCCGCCCCGCCCCAGATTATGGTCGGAGCTCTGCCCTTGGCATCAGTTATAGAGCAGCCAAGCTAGAGAGACCTCAAGGGCATCTAATGAACTCGCTAATGGCACAGAGAAACTGAGGCCCAGGATGAGGAGGGATACTGAGTCCAGCAGGGCTGGAACCCACTGTTCACTAAGCTTCTGTTGGATAAAGCTCGAATACCGGGTCCTATCTAGAGAAGGCCTCCGTGTGGAGCGCCCCTTCCCTCCGCCCACTTCCTCCCCTGCTCAGATGTCTATCTCCGTGCTTGGGCCCTGGGCATTTCCTCCAGAATTCCCTCATATGAACAAAGGACCCTGGGGAGACATGGGCAGGGGGTACGTGGGGAGAGCCGGCTACAAAAGGGTGGGCAGGGCTTCAGAAGGCGCTGGATCCTAAGAGGCAGAGGCTGGGGGCCGGAAGCAAGGCCAGAGGGTGGCAGAGAGTGTGGCCAACCCTTACTCACCCACAAGCACAGCGACCAGGAGCCCACTGATCCGCTGCTCCTTGACCTCCTGAATCTGGGCTGCAGCCCCTGGGGCGCTGGCCTTGCCCATGACAGTGAGCGCGTTGGCGTGGGTGACGGAACGAACAGTGGTGGCACTGAGCCAGGGCATCCCAAAGAGGGCAGCCACACCGCCCATGCCTATGACCAGCAGCAGGTCCAGGTGGAAGCCAGAGCCCTTGACCATCTTGCGCTCTGGTTTGCTGATAATCAGCCTTGGGGGGTATGGGAGATCAGGGGTAAGCAGCGGTCTCCCTCGCCCCCACCCTCTTTGCCCCCTCCCTCCTTCTCCATACTTGGGTCCCTCTGTATCTTCGTTGACCCTGCTGTGTTCCTCTCCCTTGGAATTCCTTGCTCCCCTCCTTCCCACCCTCTCTGGAGAATCCAGACTCTAAGAGTAGAAGGATCTCAAGTTAGCCCCTAGAATGTCCACAGGTAAATTTACGCTGAAGCCAATGAAGCTGAGCTGGTAACGTTGCCTTCTGAGGTACGCCACCTCATTTTGCAGGTCTCATTTTGTATTCTTTTTCTTAAAAAGTCCTCCCCAAATTATACCCTGTCAGGTCCCACGGAACCTGCCCCTGCCCCTGCCCATCCATCACCCCTGCCCGTGCGGAGGGCCCCAGGTTCGACTAAGCCGAGCACTCAGTCCTTGCTGTCATGCACGCCTGGAGCCCGTCCCTCTCCCCACGCCAGACCCTCCCAGGCCCAGCTCTGCCCCTGGCTCTTACGTGGTGATCTGAGACTCAAGGAAGATGAGAATGAAGACCAGCATGGCAGGCAGGGCGGAGGCAAACATCATCCAGATGGGGAAATGCGAACTCAAGCCCAGTGGGTGGATGACCCAGCCCCGGGCTGAGGAGTTGGACACCGAGAGGCCTTTAGGCACACTGAGTTTCTGTGGGAGGGGGATGCTGGTGAGAACACTGGGGCAGGGGAATGGGGGAAGGGAGGCAGGGAGAGCCAGGGTCCTGGGCACTTGGGAACTTACTTATATTGAGCAACCACTTTGTACCCAGTCACTGCACTAAGCCCTTTACATACATCTTCTCATTCCCCACTTTATAGATGAGGAAACAGGATCAGAGAGGTTGTGTCGTTTGCCTTGCATCACACAGCTATGTGGTGGCAGACCTGAGATACATAATCAGATCTGCCTGGCTCCAAAGCAGATTCTTTCCTACTGCCCTGGGTTAAGGAGTAAAAAGGCAATTTGACCCAGGCCCTTGCTTCAGCCAGAGGGGTCCTGTAGGGCTGTGGGAAGAACTGGGGGCTCTCGGGGGAGGCAGGGATGAGTAACGGGAGTTCTAGTTGGCTTCAGGTTTGGGAAAGCTATTCTTGGGAGGGGGCATACTGGGAGAATCAGCTGACAGTAGGAGGAGAGTGTCACCTGGGTGTAGGTGTCCTCGATGAAGAAATCCACCATGACCATGATCAGAATGGAGATGGGGACCCCGAAGTCCCCAATGACCCGTCGCAGCTAAGGGCAGGTGGAAAAACCCGGTCAGGGCCCAGTTTCTTCCCCACCTCCTGCCTCCCACTTGCCCCCACTCCTGCCCCCTCTTCATGCAGGGGCCTTGCTCTTCCCAGGGGACCCATCAACATCTAATGCCTTGTCCTGCACCTCAAGGTACCTGCCTCCCTTCTTCTTTCCCTGGCCCAGCCCCACCGCCGGCCCCACAGCTTCTCCACCCCTTTCTAAGAACTGTCCCTGGCTCCCCACTAGGTTCTCAGCCTGGGCAGGCTGAGAAAGGGAGATGGGCTTGCCTGAAGAGTGAAAGCCTAAGTGAGGAGGGGATCAGGGAGGCTTGGAATGGGGAATGGGAATCTAGGGTGAGAAGGAGAGCTAATGGCATTGAGGAACCTGGAGGAGTGCTTTGGACTGGGACAGGACAGCGTAGGCAAGAGCAGGGCCGGGGGTGGGGGTGAGAATGTACTGACCACGCCAGGGAAGTAGGAGCTGTTCTTGAACTTTCGCAGCATCATGGCGAAGAAGAAGGTGCCAGCCATGAGCACAAGGGAGAGGAGGGCTGTGTTGGGCAGGGGACCCTGAGGTTTGGGCACCATTGTCACATTGTGGTCATAATGCTTCTGAAGTGGATGGTCTTGGAAGATCTGCAGCAGAAAACCAAGGCGTCCTATTCTTCTCATCCAACTGTCAATCTGTCCGTCATCTATCCATCCGTTCATCTATCGGTCCATCATCTATGTATCCATCCACCCATCATCCATCATCCATTCATCCATCATCCAACCACCCACCATCCATCCATCAATCTGTCCATCATCTATTTATCTATCTATCATCTATCTATCTATGCATCCATCCATCATGCATGCATCCATTCTCTTATCTTCTTCCTCAACTGACAGGGTAACGGAGGGACAATGGGATTCACGAGCTTGGTTTTCAGGAGTGGAGACCAGGCTCAGCTTGAGTGGGGCAGGCCACGGTGGCAATGAGTATACGTGTGCATGTGAGCGCGCAGGGTCTCAGAGACATAAGGCTGGTGGGCCGGAAAGAAGTGCCAAGGATGGGGCGCCTGGGTGGCTCAGTCGTTAAGCGTCTGCCTTTGGCTCAGGTCATGATCCCAGGGGATCCTGCTCCGAGGGAAGCCTGCTTCTCCCTCTCCCACTCCCCCTGCTTGTGTTCCCTCTCTCGCTGTGTCTCTCTCTGTCAAATAAATAAAGAAAATCTTAAAAAAAATAAAAGTGCCAAAGAGGGTCCTAAAAAGGGCTTCAAAGACTTGGGAACAGCAAGCCCCACCAACCAACAGAATCAGAGGCAGACATGCAGTGTCCACCCTCCGTCCATATCCAACGCAGATGTACAGGTAGGCATAGATGAAGGTGCTGGAGCTGAGGAGGCAGGGTGCTCCACCCACAGGCCCCGTGGTTCTTGAGGGTGAGTGCCAAAGGGGGCGGGGGGGGCCAGCAGAGCCTCTGGGACCCCTGCTGCCCCTCCATGAATGCAGTTTTCCGTGTTCAGTCTTGCACACACACTTGCCTGTAGTCACTCTGGGTGCGGTTATGACCCGGACATGCACACATGGAGGTGCCACCCCCCCCAAGGTAGGCGCAGGCGCTCTGCACGGTCATGGCCAGAGTACTGGCCCAGAGGCAGCTGGTGTCGACGTGAATGTGGTCACAGCCACACACGATGAAGACACAGCCACACACGTGCCATAGGGACACGTGTGCAATGACACACACAGCCACATAGTTTGTGCACAGAGTCGCACACACACGTGCGTCTGCACTGTCGCGGCCCCCACCTTGATCAGCTTGACGAAGGTCTCATAGATGAAGATGAGGGAGATCAGGAAGGAGAAGATCTCTTGGGTGTAGCGGGAGATGAAGCGGACCAGGAAACTGCCCTCGAAGGCCACTATGAGCACCACGAACAGGACCAGCCAGAAGCCGATCCACACGCGACCCACGATGTACTCCAGGCTGTAGTTAGCGCAGAACTGCAAGGGGGTCAGAGAGGCTTGGGTCAGGCAGGGGGGCCCAGGCACCGTGCATCAGGCAGGTGCGGCCAGGGCCGGTTACAGGGTCCGAGTGGGGCCAGAACAGAGCTACCGAGAAAAAGGCTTCTTCAAACACGAGCAGGGGTCCTGAGAAGCCAACCACAAGTAGGGGCTGAGCCCCGAGCAGGGAGAAGACAATGCCCTGCACTGCAGTGGAGATGAGCAGCTCCGACACCCCCATCTGGTTCTGGGTTTTTTCTCCTGTGGGTAGAAGTTACAGTGTGGTCAAGGTCAAGAGGTCATTTCTAGGCTCTAATAGAGCATTTCACGGGCAGGCTGTGGTAGGGGTCCAGCCTGTCCGATTGGGTCAGAAGGCAGGGCTGACACAGAGGCCAAAGGGTCAGAGGCGAGAGTTAGGGAGTCATGCAGAGGCACTGACCCAAGAGGCCGCCGAAGGTGATGGCAGGTGACAAGGCAGCAAAGTAGATGAAGATGACAGCAGCCAGGACCTGGGGGCTGAACGCGTCTGTGATGTCACTCAAGTAGTGGGGGTAGCGGCGCCGGATGTCACGCACCAGGCCCCCAAAGAGCAGGCCTGTCCGCTGCAGAGGGTCGTCTGGCCCAGCAGGGGCCCCTGGGCCCCCATACAAATCTGTAGTCAAGGACAGGACCATGGTCACAGGGGGTCATGGGAGGAGGTGTGGGAAGAGAGGAATCGCGGGGAGAATCTTCTGATGGGAACTGGGTGGCCATGGAGGCTGGGCGGCATGAGGACAGAGAGAGGGGACCCTGGGGTATTGGAGGGGAGGAGGGGAGGCAGGGGCTCGCAGGGCTGTGCTGGGGTCTCTGATGGTCTGTGGGGGCTGCGGGGCAGGTACCCAGACCCTTGTAGAAGTGGGGCTCGGGCTTGGCGGGGCTGAGCAGGTAGCGTCTCCGCAGCAGCTCCTTCTGCACGGGCACCAGACTGAGCAGGGCCTGCTCGGAGGGGGCTTCACAGGGAGGCAGCACCAGGCTGCAGTCCAGGAAGCCCTCCAGGTTGCGGACCAGCTCCGCCTTGCTCTGAGCCAGGTAGGCATCTGTGCGGAACACCTGGGGGCCAGAGAGAGGGTCAGGGCTGCCGGGACCCGCTAGACAAAAGGACCCAAGAGTCCACATCCACGGCCTCCAGGAACCAGAACCCTCTCTCCTGGCTCCTTCTTGCTGGGAACTGCTTGCTCTGCTGCCCCCCTCACTTCTGTGCCCACCACAGAAGGGTTTTGGGGAGGCAGACAGGGCCTTGAGTGGGGAAAGGAGAAAGCACTAAAGCAAACGGGCTAGCTTAGAGCGGACCGGCTGGAACTGGAGTAGGCCAGACCAGGCCAGACCTAACTGGGTGGACCCAGGTCAGAGCGGCCCTAGACAAGGCCCAATCAGGCAGGGCCAGGCCAGACCACCTGCCCCTGGCCAGAGAGGCTAGAAGCAGCAGGGTGAGAAGGAACGTGCCAGTCTAGCACAGCTCCGGTGACCCAGGCCCGTCCAGGGAGTGACCTCAGCTGCCACCCAGCCCTCAGATTCCCCCCACCCCTCCCCAGCCCCTCCTCACCCTCTCGGACATGAGGGTGGCCGCCGCCCGACCAAGCTGGGTGTAGTTGATGTTGGGGGCCTCGGGTCCCAGCAGCACAAAGAGGAAGCGTACAAGCACTGGGAGCCCCACAGCCTCCAGCTCCGTGGGCGCCTGCAGCCGCACGAAGCCCAGCACCGGGCGCTCCAGGAACTCTGCTCGGCCTGCGAGGGGAAGGGGCGGCGGGAGGCGGTTGGGCCAGGCTGAGGGGGTGCTGCTAGGCTCATGCTTCGGGAGAGGGGAGAGGGAGGCTGGGCCGGGACAGGAGGTATAGCGCGGGGCGGTGGGGGTGGGGGTGGGGGTGGGGGGGTTGGGGGTGGAGGCCCCAGCTGCTTACCCACGAGCACCAGGGTGGCCTCCGAATCTGGGGGAATCTTCTCTAGAATTCCAGATGGGGAATGCCCTTCTGTGCCCTCCTGTCCCCGTTGGAAGGAGGCCAGTGAGGGGAGTCCCCTGGCCGCTCCGAGCATCCAGCCCCCTCCTTCCCTAACCACTCTGTTTCTAACCCTGTTCAGGTGGGTCGCTTCCTGGCTCTACCCACAGCCCTAGTACGGCCTCACCTGTTCACAGAAGAGCTCCGTCTCTAACGAGGGGTGCTGGGGGAGCAGAGGCTGTGAGGGGTTCCCGGAACGGGTCAGAACCGTGGGCTTCACACCCCCCAGGGCCTCCAGGTCTCCGGCATGGCTGCGGGACACACAGGGGACACGGGCTGAGTAAGCTGTTCGGGCTGGGCTGTTAGTAGCTCTGAGACCCATGGGGGGGGGGAGAGGTGGGAGGTGGGGGGGAGGCAGGGATCAAGTAACGCTTCCCAGTGAGCAGACTGGACGGACCCTGGGGCCAAAGGACAGTCAGCCTCCTTTGGAAGGGTGTTGTTGATGCAAGTGGGTGGTCTCCGTCTGGAATGGCCGGGTGGGGCCAGGACGGATGGAGGGAAGGGCCTTGAGAGCCTGCCCTCCTGAGGACCAGTAGCCCCCACATCTGAACACGGAGCCACGGCCTCCCCTCAAGAGGTGTCAGAGGCAGGAGCCGTCGTGGAAGAAACGTGGGCCCTGGTCTGGTGGGGGAGGGGCCACGTGGGCCTCCAGGGAGAGCTCGGGGCCTGTGGGCCAGGGAGGTGGGCCCTTTGGCTGTGGAGTCCAGGTCCTGGTGGGCAGGGGCACCTGTGCTGGAGCAGCAGGACCCGGAGCAGCAGGTCTCGGGCCTCAGGCCGGATCTGCTCCTCGTAGATAAACCCGTCCAGCAGCTGGTTGGCCACCCCCGCCAGGGAGGTCTCTGGCAGATCCAGGAGGACAGTACCTGCAAGGGGTGGCGGGGTGAGCTGGACGGCAGGACGGTGGCCCCCCGGCCCGCCACCGCACCGTACGTGCAGGTCTTGGGGAGGGGCCCGGCAGGGCTCACCCTTGGCAAAGGCTTTCTGCAGCTCCAGGAGGCTCCAGAAGTTGAGGTAGGACAGGTGCGGGCGGCTCCAGACCCCATCCTCCCTCAGGTTCTCCTCCAGCCGCACCCAGTGCGCTGCCTCCATCCATCGCAACTCCTGGTTCTTCTCATCCATCACCAACTCCTGCAGCTCCACGTACACCTGCGGCCCCACAAGCCTGAATCAGTGTCTTGGGCCCAGGGCAGCGCCCTGCGGAGACTGGCAGTCCAGGGCTTGGTGGGCACTCAGCAGGCTCTGAGAGATGTTTGGAGGAGGCCCAGAGTCCTGGAGCCCTCAGGGCAGACCCTGAGCTCAGAGGGGACCGGCGGGAGAACCAGCCTGGGTGTGTTGAGTGAGGTAGGAGGTGGGGGGCCGGGTACAGCCCACAACTCTGGCTCTATTCCCCAAATCCCTGACCAGACCCTTACCCCATTTCAGAGGCATTTGGAGAACCTCTCAACCAAAAGGGGTGCTAGGGCGGACACTTGGGAGGGGCCAAAAAAAAAAAAAGGAAGCCTTTGGGGTCATTGGGTGGGTCTCCTGCCTCCAAGACTGTTGAGTGGGATCAGCATTCACTTGGGTTTCCTTGGGGCCAGCTGGCCGCTCCCAGGGGCCTAGCTGAGGGCAGATCCAATTTCCTAACCAGCTAGACAGTCTGATGCCCAGCAGGGATGCGTGGGGCCTGGAGGGCCTGGGCAGAAGGGCACGTATTTAATTCTGTGCTTCCCCAAGGAGCCCCTGACAGCCCGGCCAGGGCCAGCGGGCCGCGGGAGCGCAGCCCTCTGGCAGTCACTGTATGTCTGCCCAGGGAGCTCCCTGCTCAGTGGAAGAGGGACCCAGGTCTCCCCCCTCAGCAGGGGTGTCCTCTTCCGTTCTGCCTATTTCCCCGGGCTGCCGGCTCCTTCTCTGCCTGTTTGTGGGGTTCCCCCATGCTGAAGCTGTGCCTATCCCTCTTCACCTCCCTTCTCCTGGTACAAGGGTGGGTGCCCCCAGGCAGCACAGAAAAGAGAATCGGGCGGAGCCGGGGGTCCTCACCGCGTGGGTGCCTGCGCGTGATGTGGCGTCTGGGTCTGGGCTGGTGTCGTAGTCTGTGGCTGTTGGCTCAGCGTGATCAGCTGAAAACCCCGAGGCAGGTTAGTGTTGCCCCCAGATAATCCCCCCCTTAGGCTCCTCCTGCACCACCCACAGGGAACCTCCGAGAGCCGCCCCGGATGATGCCCCACTCCTTCCCGCTGCTGCTGGCTAGGACCCGGGTGCCTGAGCCCAGCCCCACCCTGCCCCACCCCTGCTGCTCAAGGGTCTGTGGCTTCCTGTGCCTGTTCTTGGCCCAGCCTGGCCATTTCATGCCCCATCCGAGCCTTGTGGAAGACCCCTGGGAGTCATCTTCAGTGGTGATGGAGAGGGTCACCTCCAAGGTGGAGAGTCCCGAAGGGCAAGTCTCTGGATTCTCCTTGGATCTTCTCCCTCTCCTGTCACCTTCTGGGACCAGCTTCCCTTCCTTCTTCCCCTCTGCCTCAGCAATCCCACCAGCTCAGTACGTCTCCCTGTCTCCTATCAGTGGGGCTCTGGGAGCCAGCGTGGGGTCTGCCTTATATTGCCCCCCACTCCCCACCCCACTCCCAGCCCTCATTTCCCAGAGGGGCCTCTTATCTTCAGTACCAGTTGCCAGCACTTAAGTCCTATTGACAGTAAACAGGTCCCCACCTGGGGCTCCCCAACTGAGACCTTGGCAGGGCTGGGAAGGTTTCCCGATGTCTCTCTGCCCTGGAGGTCCCCATGGCCCCTCATTTCTCAGGACCCCTAGACCCCCAAACAGAATGATGTTCCCAGAACAGGCCCTGTGCCTGGCCTAGAAGTCAGCATGGGGCGGGCACAGATGGCATGTGGTCTCATGCCCTGTCGCAGGTGGGCCTGGCTGCCCTGTCCCAAACCAAAGGGCCCGGCCATGGGTGACTAGTCCTGTCCCCCGCCCCCCAGTCCCCTCCTGTGATCATTTCAAACAAAACTCTGTTTATCCTTCAATCAGCCAGGATTGTGGGAGAACTGGCCCTGGGGCTGGGGGAGGGGGGTGGATTTGTGGAGAAGGGACAAGGTCCCTTACTGTCTCTGTCTGGGGCTCAGCAGCTCATCCCAGCAAGAGAGAGAGATGGGGCTCACCTACTGGCTCCTCCACCTGAAGCACGGGGACATCTGGGTCTTCATACTCCTCCTGTTCCAGAGCGTCCTCCAGCCCCTCTTCATGATCCTCCTATAGGAAGTGGCCATCAGGGCTGGGCTGTGAAGGGCTTTTCGAGCCACCATGAAGGTAGGAGTCCAGGGTTGGGTTCCCAGAGCCCCCAGATAGGAGCCCGGCAGACACCACGAAAGGCTCACCTGCCAGCCCTCCATGGTGCTGTCCTGATTGTCCAGTTGTCCACGGCGATCCAAGCCCCCAGCATAACCCGCACCGCGGGTCCCTGCAGCGGCGAGCACGGGCTGAGTGAGGCCCAGGGCATCCTCCTCCAGAGGAGGCTATATTTGAGTCAAGGGGGATCCCAGGTGTTGAGAGGCAGTGGGGTCAGGGGAAGGAATTTGGGGGGTGGGAAGGAGCTAGATTTGTAGGTGTGAGGGCAGGTGTACAGGGGCCGGGAGAGCCGGGGCAGGAAGAGGAAACTTGGCTGGCATCAATCAAAGGGTGTTTGAGAGGGTGGGCTGTGCTTCAAATTCAACTCCTTCTTCCATCCACCAGTCCTCACCTGGCTTCTTTTCCTGTCCATCCCCTGGGCTTAGCCAACTCCAGGGGCATGACCTGCTCCTTCTTCAGGGAACTTAATTCCCCTGAGAGTCTTCACAACATACCTTCTCCCAGAAACAGCTACTTTCTGCTAGGCATGGGGCTGTAGCATCCTTGGGAGTGGCTCACAGGTATTGAATGAGGTGGCCCTGTTTCTCTGCACCCCCTCGTGAACTCCATCTCTCTTGTTTGCTCCCCACCTATCCCATTGGCCCTACCAAGCCCTTTCCTGCCCCAGGGCCTTTGCACACACAGTTGTCCACATCCTCAGTGACCCTCAGCCCCCGCACCTCACCCCTTCTCACATCTCAGCTCTTCAGATTCCCTTCCTGGCCACCCTAACATTCACTAGCCCAATCTATCATTTTCTGGTTTCTTGGTTCATTTGTGTATATATCGTCTGAGGAGGCCTCTAGAAGGGAAGCCACTCGAGTGCTAAGATCCATGTCTCGGTCCCCACTGCATCCCTTACTCCTAGCAGAATGGTTGCCACAGAGTAGGTGCTCGATAAATACGTGTTGGGTGAAGGTAAGGGTGGCTCCCCCTTGCAGGCTTGGGCCTCTGGAACTGAGGAATCAGGACGACTAGGACCCAGCCAGGAGGAGACCGAGACCTGTGTCTCAGGTTTGCTCAGCTGTATCTCTGGCGGAGAGGAAGGTATGCTCACCCCAGGAATGTGAGGCCCAGCCCAAGGGGAGCACAGAAGTCCCCTAGGGTGGCCCCAGCCTGGGTGTGGAGGGGCTCCCTTTCCCCCTCACCCAGCAACAGGGATTGGGGTCGGGCGACAGACGTGCCCACTCTGTGCCCACATGGCGCGGAGCAGTGGGAGCTGAGATGAACAAGACACCGTCCCTCCTCTCGAAAAGCCCTCAGCCCTGAGGAGGCGGCTGGGAACGCGTGACAGGCGAAGTGCTTCGGGAGACGATACGTCCCCCAGACAAATGAGAGATGAGCGGAAGGTGTTGGGTGCCAAGGATCATACCGCAGGATGAAAGGTAGAACAGACTGGTGGGATTGGAGTGTCTCTGAGGGGGGGACCCTGGCTCTGGGCCAAGAAGCACTGGTGGGATCTGAAGGGCTGGCAGGTGGGGAAGGATGGTCCAGGTGTGAGCATGAGCCTGCAGAGGTAGGCGCATGCCAGACGGGGCTGGCTGCTGCTGGGGGGGAAACAGGGCAGGGAGGGCGTACAGACAGAACGGTCCAGGGACATTTCCTCCTGAGGGCTGGGTGGTGCTGCAGTCCCAAGAGATAGAGGGAGGGAGAGGGTATGGCAGAGCCCCACCAAACTGAGAAGGGCAGGGGTTCCTGCATTGGTAGGGGAAGTGATGACCAGGGGACGGTCCCCAAGCCCGAGGACAGGGCCGTCCCTACTGCACAGGATTTGCCCCTTGAGGACCCTAGTCATGCACCCTTTCCTCTCCTTCTTCTGTCCCTCTCTTACCTTTTCTCCCACCTCTATTTTCTTTCTTCCTTCTCTGGCCTTGCTCTCTCCTCTGCCTGGGCCTCAAATCCTGAGCAGTCTCAGGCCTTAGGTGTGAAAGGTCCCACCTGTGGGGCTGGGACTCTGCCCTTCGTTTCCTGTCCGGGAGGTGGATGGGTCAGAGGGGCCTCCAGAGCCAGAGGAGGCTGCCTGTCCGCCGCTGACTGGCTGAATAACCTTGGGCGGCCCCCAGCCTCTCTCTAGGCCTCAGTCATCCCATCTGTACAATGGGAGGGCCTTCCCACCAGGGTTCTGAGACCTCGGTGAGAGAGAAGAGGGGAGAATGGAGGTGCCTTGAGCTCAGCTGGGGCCTTAGAGGGTGCCCCCGTGACTCAGATTGCAGCCCCCACTAGGCCCGGCCCCCCCACCCCCCAGCTGCAGGCCTTGCTCTGGCACCGATAAGAGCTTGGAACCCGATCACGGCCCTGCGTCTGGAAGCTCATCAAACACCTGGCAGGCCCGCCAGCCAGGGCAAGGCCAGATAAGGGTGAGCAGGGCATCTGGAGCCCCGGAGGTGGAGCACAGCTGGTAGAGGCTTGGCGGGGGGGGGGGGGGGGGGAACCAGATGATGCGGAGGGCTCCCTGGTGGCGTAGCACAGCCTCTGTGTAATCGCCCCCACAACGCACAAAGCTGTACTGCTTCATCTCTTAGAATCCTCAGAGCACTCTGCCAAGTGGGTAATGTCACTAGCTCCGTTTTACAGATGAGAAAGCTGAGGTTCAGAGAGGTTAACTTGTCTTGGTCCTCTGGCAGGTGGGTATCAGAGGCAGGACGAAACCCTGGCCTACCTGACTCCATCTGCATCTCTCGCGATCACGCTGAGTTGCCTTCCAGAAGAGAAAGCAGCTCTAAGCTGGTTGAGTGCTAGTGGGTTGAAAGCATGGATCTCCAGTCGGCCTGCCTGGGTTCAGATGCCAGCCCTGCGACTTACTGTGTGACCGTGGGCAAGTGACTCAACCTCTCTGAAAACCTCAGTTTTCTTCTCTGCAAAGTGGGGTAATAGTAATGATACCTACCGTATAGGCCTGTTGTAGCGCTAAGTTGAGCTACATAAAGCCCTTAGAACACTGCCTGACACAGAAAGAGCTCCGGGTGGATGTTGGCCATCATTATCACTGTGACTGGGGATCAAGGTCAGACTTGCTATCTTCACCTCTCTCTGATCTTCCTGCAATTCCCATGAAATTAGCCTAAATGCTTTGAGATCCTCGGGTGATGGGGGACTCCTCCTTTCCCTCCAAACAATCCCTAGGCTGGGGACAGGGCTGGGTCTGCCTGCTCGACTCCCCGGAAGTGTCTCAAATGGGAAGCAGCGTCAGCAAACAACTGTCCTCGCAAGAGGGGGATGGGATGGCCCGTGGGTCCCCATGCGCGGAGGAATGAGGGGGCTGGGGGGAGAAGACCTGAGTCTGTGGGATCCAAGGGGCTGGTAAATAGAAGCCTGACAAGGACCCACACCTGGAGGGGGATCCGATTTGCCCCCCCGACCAGCCACACGTACCTCTGCTGCCACGTGCCCGCTTTTTTTTTCCCAACACCTGCAGCCCCACGCTCCCCAGCTGCAGGTGCCAACGGGTCTGTGCCCTTATGGGTAATAACACACATCCTACCATTGTCATCCCACCCACCTGCACCCCCTTGGAGATCGGGCGCCTCTGTCCATCTGGGCGCGGATTCAGGCGGGGCACCTGCAGAAACCCTCGGGACAGGTGCCGCAGGACCACCCCCAGCCCTTCCCAGCCCCGCTTACCTGCTTACAAGCCTTGGGGTCCCTCAGCGAGCTCCTGCAGCCACGGGTGTCCTCTGCCACCAGCTGAGCTCACACCTGCTCTAACAGCACCGAGTCCTGGCTCCCAAACCCCGGGGGCAGCTCCCAAACCCCTGACTCATGCCCCCGCCTCCTAATCTGCCCGCCCCACCATCCCGGGGAGCCCCTTCCCACCCCCCCCCCGCCCTGCTCCTTCTGGGTGCCCAGTAAACAGAGTTATCTCTCACACACATCTGGACAGCTGTGCGTCTGGCCCACCCCACCCCAGCCGGCCTGCCCCCAAGACCTCCTGCTGCCCTCCTGGCTCCCAGGGACTCTCCTGGGTCTTCCTTCATGGACTAAGGTTCGATGGCTGGGTTCTCGAGCTCTCAGCCTCCTGGCAGGTGCGCCCCCAGCTCCTGGATGCTCCCGTCCCGCCTCTGTCCGTCCTCACTCTGGCCAGGCTGCCCTGCTCTGGCCCCAAGAGACACAGGTGCCTTCTCTCTTCTCTCTCGGTGTCTTCCCTGAACTCGTTCGTACTCTACAGCCTCGCCCACGGGGACCTGCTCAGTGCACAGAGGATCCAGGCAGCCCCCTCCCCTTCTTGCCCCAGACTAGGGCTCCCTAGCCACCTTCTCCCCAAGACCCTGGATGGCTCCAAAGAGCCGGTCCCTGGGCACTAAGACGCTGCCAATGAACCTGAAACAATGTCAGGTCAACACAAACAACCTTCCCCACACGGAGCTCAGAGCTCACAAAGCCCCAATGTTTGGGCACACTGGCTCTTCTGTCAGCAGCCTGGCCCAGGCCCCCAGGCCAGCGCAGCCCGCATTCTCCGCCCCCGCCATGCCCCTGCCCACATCCCCCAGCAGGGCAGCCTCGGCTCCTGGGGGTGCTGGGGCCAGTCACCTGTCTCTGGGCTCTGGTTGCTAAAGAAGCAGAGACTGAAAGATGAGTTCAGATGGGCAAGAATGAAGAGAGGCTTGAAAGCCGACAGAAAGGGGGGTTTGTAGATACCGCTCTGGGCACCGAGAGGGGAAACCATCCTAGCCCAGCACCAAAACCCACTGGCTGTGGGACCCTGGGCAAGTGCCTGCCCTCTCTGGGCTTCAGTGTCCTTACTATAAAGTGAGAGGGCCCGGTTCTGTGGCTACCAGCTTGGAGAGTCCCCATTTCCAATTCAGACAGACAGGACAGAGAGACCGCATATCCAGCAATTTCCCCACCCTTTCCTGGGTCTCGACCACAAGCCTGCCCCGTGCCGAGCCCGACGGAGACGGAAAGGGGCAGCCAATTCCTCCTGTGTCTAGGCACTGGGCTGGGGCTTCACCTGGAGGGCATACGTAATCCTTTGGTTTCCTCAGTTCCCGCAGAGGGCAACTGGAGGGACAGAGTAGTCCAG